ACTTATAATTTTAATATCTAGAAAGACACTGTTGATTTCTAACAGCAAAAGTCTTCTACCAATCTCCAATAAAAGTGCATGAGGAAGCTTCCCAAAATTGTCATGGAAGGTTCCCAAAATTCATGCAAAGTAAATGTTGTTGTTTGTTTTGGGATCTGAAAGCAGTTTTTACTCAACTGCTCCCTATTAAAGCACTTCAGACCGACAAGACGTGCTAGGGAAACTCAGTAATAAGAGAGGAAGCCTGCAGAAGAAAAGCATAAGTCTATGCTGGCCTGACATGTGTCACTAGTAGCTTGCTTAGTGACATCAGTCCATGGATTTTCATGTAACCTGCAAAAATGTTTTCCCGAGTAGGCTAATAGAAGAACATTTTTACCTGTGCAATGAGCTGGATTATGAAGTCCACAAGAAGTTTGGATTCTTTGTTGAACATGCCCTGCCAAAGCTTATCTACCACACGCTGTGTAAAATAAAATACATTGTTCACCAGCACTTGGTAGCTTCCTCCACTCGTTATAGGCAGAGATGCATCTTCACCTAGGTAACAAAAAAACCCCAAAGTTTTCTTCATTTATCTAAAACCCACATCTGCATAAACACATTCCGATTAGCCTGTGTTTTCTAGACTTCTGAAAAAGAGGAAAAGACTCCATCAAATAAAAAGCTAAAACCTCAAGACTCCCCTACAATGAACTCTGATGGTAAGTGAACATTTGAAATTGACAGTGACGAAGGCCAAAATGGGGGGGGGAACACAGGGAGGGAAGAGTCCAGAAGAAATGGTGCTCCTGTGATCCTGAGGCATCATATTTATGTAGGGTCCTCCTTTTCAATTGGAGCTACATGTGTGCAGAAACACCAGTAGCTTTTTTTAAATTCTATTTTTGCTTTTGCAAAAAGAAAAGAACCTTTTTAAACACCTTGAGATGACAAGTGGTATCAGCTGGCATCACTTCTCCCTCACTGTGCTTGGTTCAATAAAACTGTCAATGGGCATCAGCTGCATGTGTCTGCATGTACATAAATGTCAGTACGGTTATATTAAAAGAAGCTTGAAAAGTGCAAGTGCTTCCATTAAAAAAAAGAAAAAAAAAAATCAGTGACACTGATTTTGCTGGAAGTTCACCTACATTTATTCACTTGCTGCCCTATCTGCACGTAAAGCGACTGCTAGCACTGCACCTGGAAGAAGCTGGCAAAACCCTGAAGAAGGAATGCCTGGGAAAACCAACATCCTGCTCCAGCCACACAGAAGTACTTTTAAGGGCAGGCAGCTGTTCTAAGAACGTGACCCAAACCTTCATGTAACTTGATTCTGGACTTATTTTGTTAATGCACTGCACCCAGAGAAAGACAAATCATTGCTGTGGCAAGAAAGAAGGAGCCTTCCAAGCACATTTGAATAGAAATGCATACTGTGCCCTGACATCTAGGATGGAGATAAAGCAGACCAAGAGCTCCTAGGCAGATCAGCAGGCGACCATGAAGTCTGATTGGACACCTGAGCAGCGATACTCCTACAGGCCACTTCACAATCATCTAAACCCATGCTCTGGTGGGACAGACCACCATACTGACATCCAGGTTACAAGTTTCTAATTCTCTTCCTGTCCATTTATTAAGTGGATCAATGGAATGCTAATCCCTGAGGCTTTTTCTCAGGTGGTGCATTCATAATAAAACTACAGTAGGAGGAAACGGAAACAAAGCTAACTTTTAAAAACCAAAGTCCCACCCATGATAAATTGACAAAAGCTCCAGATCCCCCACCAAGGCAAGAAGGACAAGAGACATGATCCAAGATCCAGTTTCAGTTCTTTTTGATGTGTTTGCAATTTTCCTGGCTTACATATCCAAAAGACTCAACCCATATATATATTTTTAACAACCTATTTTACAGCTTTGGCACAACTGAGATAGCGAGGGAACATGCAAGCACAGCAATACCATTTACACATCAAAGGAAAGGCAAGGCCAAGAAAAAAAAAAAAAGATAAAGACATTTAAGTTGTAATAAAAAAGGATACTAATAAAAGTTATATAATCAAAACCTTTTGCTCAAATCAACAGATTGATAATTAAACATTACCCAATAAAACATCAGCTGCAAGTAAGTGGTCCATGACTCCATCCAAAACATATGTCTGAAACTCCTTCTGCTGTGTTCGTGTTGATCTTTCAGGGGAAGCCTGATTAAAAAAATACAATGTTAAGATAATTAATAACTCTGAGCAAGCAAAAAGGGGGAGGTGAAGGGTGTTCTAGGTGTATTTCTCTTTTCTCAGCTCTTGTAAACTATCTTTTTTTCCTCTTGACATTCTATCTCAAGTAAAAAGTCTTGGCTTTATCTAAACATTTAAGAATGCATGTTGAGTATACATTGGCTATATGCAGTCTTACAGAGTAGGCATTAATCCTATTTAAATCCAGTAAATTTTTCTTCTGCCAAGAAAAGACCACATTCCCAAAAGGTGCATGGTTAAACTGTGATCTCCTCAGTTCACATAGTCACCTCCTTCAGTAAAAAAAGAGTAGATAGGACAGATCAAACATGTAAGTTGATCATAATTTCTGTGTGGGATTCTGCATATTACTACAGCAGCCTTGGTATAGTCATATAATAGATATATGTGCTAAGCCTTTCTAATTTCCTTGGCACTTAAAGGGGAAAACCACTTTATCATCTTGTGTTGTTCAGTGCATACGTAATCTTACCTAACTGAATGATCCACTTACACAGTCCTAGAAAGCAACCTGAAGTGAACCTGGTTTGTCTTGCCCTGTAACAGTTTAGCAGCGTGTACATATCTAGTCATCTGTTTATGCTAAGGGACCAGTAATCAACACTGATGAGTGATAACAGATTAAAACAGCAGTGAAGCAACTGCAACCAATTGAACATGGTCTCAAAAATGCTTCCTGATGTTTGCAAATAACTGCATCTCTTGACAATCCATTTTTGGCTTTGTGACAAAGAGCAAAGAGATGCCCAACTGCCCCAGGAAATTCATTACAAAATATACAAGTACATCAAAAATTACTGGAGCTATCAAAAAAATCAGGGAGACTCAGCAACACATAGACAAGGTAACAAATAGGCAGGTCAAGGGAGAATGTGAATTGACATGAACTGAAGGTTTCAAAATACATTGTCTGAAGAAGGTGTGGGCAAGTTAAACAGTAACTGAAACCCTCGTTTCCTGCCTCACCATTAACAGAAGGATGCTTTCTGCAGGTGTCACAAACTTGAAAAGATAATTTACAGAAAGATAACAAAGTTATTTTGTGAATTTTTATAGCATATGGCACCATATGTCTGCCACTTCTTTTTATCTAATATGAATAAAACAGAAGCCTTAATAGTTCTGCAGGGATTCGCAGGGATTTCATATTTTCAACAAAACCAATAGAGATGTCATGGTCTGAAAGGTATTTTACAAATTAATTATATTCCACAAAAATAAAACTTGAAGAAAGCTACAACTTCTCATGCTGCACTGTTGGACATCTAGCGTTGTGATCCATTACCTGTTTCCAGATAAAAGGAGGTATTGGCTAAAAGGCCAAAACAAGATTATGACTGGTCAAAAGTGAGCACAAAGTAGAAATAAAACATTGACAAGACATGCTCAGCGACTAACAGAGCCATCTGACTGGCCAAATGAAAGTTAAGGAGCCCACAAACAAAAGGAGTAGTAGGGCTGTGGTGTGGAGGGGAGAACAGCACAGCAAGAAAAATGCCAGGTAACCAGGATGCACCCAAAATCATCACCAGTATACACAAATGCTGCAGGGTGACAAACAGGGAAGTCCAGAAAACATTCTCAAAGGAAGGCTGAGATAAATGCTCTGCATTAGTTTGCTTAGCTTTGCCAAGCTGTTAAAGAAAGGTGAGCAAACTACTATTTGTGAGACACTGGTGTTCCTTTATTTTTTTTTCCTCCTCTTATTTCATGAAAATTTCCAGGATTCTACTGAATCCCAGGCCATCGCTCTTCTAACTTTGAAAGGTAAGTACAGGAAAACATTTTAGGGAATGAAGTGTCACAATAAGTTCAAATAATATAAACAAAACAGAATACAAAACCCAAAGAAACTGTACCTCTAGCAGAAGATCTACCAGTGGAGTCTGTTTGCTCGCTGGTGTGAGACATAAGTTATCAATTATCATCACACGCATGAAGTCAAACACAAACTTCTTGGCAGGATGGTTGGTTAGGTACGTCTTGGTGCCAACGTTGCAGTATTCTGATTGGCTCCTGTTCATGCCAGAATCAGCTGCAAAGGCTTTAAACTCTTCAGCTGGGGACCCAACTTCATCATCAAGATCAGTGACCTGTGAAAAACAGCAAGTTAAAACTCTAGAGATCAGCAGATTAGCAGCAGTCTGTTTGCTACTCTATTCTTTACTTGTCTTTCTGCGGTTATTCACTTCACATTTTGCTTCTTAAAAAGTCTTTTCACAAGATTATTACATTCAGGATCAGTTCCCTAATACAGAACAGGAGAAATATCCAAATTCTACTTTTGTATTCCCAAAGCAAACAGTAATCAGTTAAGAGCGGCATGAGTTATGTGAGCTAGAGATCACATTTCATATTCACTTGCCAACACGGAGTACTTGGCAATTTCTAGACACTTTGCAAAAATAAATTTTCTCATTGCAAAAAAAAAAAAAAAAAAAAAAAGAGAGTTTTGAAAAAATTAACAAAAGCAGTTAAAATACAGAAGCCAACTAAAGAAAGGCTATCAAGCTTACGTGACAGAAAACAAAAAAGGAACAAAGCCTTTTCTTTTCTTAATGCAATACCATTAGAGTGCAGTTATGGGAAAGCCAGTTTCCCAAAATCTCTTAAAAAAGAAAAAACAGTCTCCACAGCTTCTCTCTTTCTGACGAACAAGAACCTTTGGTGGGACTAGCTCTTAAGGAGGACTGTAACAGAAGGGCAAACAGCAATGAAAGCTGTCAAATCTAAAAGACTTTTTATCTAATGCTCTCCTCCAAATGCAAGAGGAGACAATATGATTTCTCTCAACAGGTTTATCACATCACCAGCTTACGTGTGAAGTAACCAAACGTTCTGAACATTTGGTCTGCTTCAGTAGAAGAGCTTTCCCAAAAAATGAAGAGAAGCCTGAAAGCACAGTCCTTCTGTTTTTAACAGCAATCTCTCAAGGCTGAATTTGGGCTACAGCATTCTGTTGTGGGAATCTGGCTGCTATTCATCTCCTTCACAAGGGATTGATTAGTTCTGCACATTCAGGCAGAGGGAAATGCTGGAGGAGCAAAGTGATTTGGAGTCAAGACAGCCCCCAAAGAGCAAAGAGCTCAAATTGTCAGTCAGCTACACAAAGTTTTGAGGGACCTAGTAAAGTAAAACCTGCTCAGAGACACATGGCTCCTCTGAAAACTCTACACAGGTGAAAACCAAATCAGCATTGCTAGTTCGTAAGTGGCACTTTTTTTTGAGAGAGAGCTCCTAGTATATAATTCAAGTGCAAGTTAAACTAAAAAGCAAAATCAACTATGAGAGACTCATCAGCACACACCTTTAAAAACTGATCTCTCATTTCTATTGACAACAAAAAGATAGTATGCCACCAGTCAGTATTTCCTGAAGTATTTTATCATACCCTCCCTAGTTCTAGCATTTGCCAATTTGTAGCCTAATTATCCTTCCATGTTTTTAGTAAAATTATTTTTAGACCTTGGCTAGCAATAACTGTTTGTTTCCTTTCCATTCACATTCTAGAAGCAGTATCATTTATAAATGATGCTTAGCTCAAGGAATACTTCAGGTGGTAATGCAAGCAAAGTTGAATTCACAACCTCTCCTGAACTCTTGAACTCCGTAGTTCTAGGTAATACAAGAACACTGTCCTGTGGTTAAGCCACAAAAGAGGAAGTGGGAAGTGTGATGAAAAAAAAGTTTTAGATTTTATCACATCCTCCAGAGCAGAGGGCTGAAAGCATAGACTGAAGCAGTGTCTTTTGCTTCTGTAAATCTGAGCTCACATTGTTCATATGAGTGAAAAAACTGATTCACCAGAAATCAAATAAACCGTGCATGTTTCCCTAAAATGAAGTTTCAGATGCCACCGCACAGCAACTGCCCTTCAGTTGACCATGCACTTCCCTCATTTCCAAAATCCAAGTACAAAACATCCAGCTCAGCCTTTACAACAACAACCTTGTGCAGCGTAAGCAGAGCTCTACCTTTGTATGACTGTTAATTGATAATCCTCAAAGGTTAACATTCAGGAGAGAAAAAAAAACAGCTAGCTAGTTGGATTTCCTACCATCTCAGAGTAAGGTCGTATGTTGAAAGGAAACACTGTTGCTGCCAGCGCACACAGGAACTCTGGACTCATCCACAAGGAAATGAGGTCCGGCACGTTATGATACAAATATCGAAAGAACTGCATCAAGGTTACTGGATATTCTCGAAGCCAAGAGCCTTCTTCCTCCGACTGCCAAGGCTGGGTTGAAAAACAAACAGCACATTAGCACAGATGGCACTAATCGAAGACTGCTCATTTCAGAAAGGAGCTACAGGAAGAGGAGTTGTAGGGTCAAATATGCAATCAAACACATTGTCAAACATGCAAAGAAACACGTGATCATAGGCCAAATGTGACCAACAGCTGTTCAAGCAGAGCAGAAATAAGTGACTGAACACACAGCCAAGTATATGACCAAGAGTGAAAAAAACCACAGCCCAAACATGTCAAATGTGTGTTGGAGCACTTGTCAGAACACAGGACCAAACATGTGTCTAGAACATATGACTGAAGACATGGTGTCCAAAGATGTGACCTTGTATCTGATCAAACAAGAGACAGAAAGTGTGTTCAAGCCCATAACCAACATGTGACAAACCTGACCCAATGTGACAGAACATGTGTCAGAGCATGTCACCACACAATGAACACCTGACCAAACACATGGCTAATCTTGCCTACAGAATGTGTGACAATCGAACAAGCCACCAACTTCTAACAAACACATAAATCACATGTCCAAACCATGTGCCTGCAACAGGTGACAACAGAACATGTGTCCAAGCCATCACAAACATGTGACTGAACACACAGCAGCATGTCACCATATCATAAATGCATGAGAAACATGTAGCTGAACATGACAAACGTAACAGGACATGTCATCACGATAAAACAGGCTGGAACAAGTTGCAACCATATGATGAAATGTAACCAGACATATGACTGAACATGTGATAAACCCACAGCAATAACATATGGGAGCCTGACACATGACAGCAACCTATGGCTGAGCATGCGCTTGAGCATGTCACAAACAGGAGACTGACCATGTTTACAACATGACTGACCATAAGACAAAGCATGTGTCCTAACATGTAATGATTCAAAACATGTTGGTAAACATGACCTGACTCATGTCAACCCAAAATGAAATGGCACATTTGAACGTACATCTGATGACACAGCACAAGACAACAAGGCAAAAGACAGCACATATCTCTGAGCCTGTCACAGATGTGTCCAAACAGGTGAGGACCAAACACATAACAGAACAGGTCAACAAGCAATAGACAGAACACGTGGCAACAGGAACGTGTATTGCAGCAGGTCACAAACACATAACCAGCACACACATCCAGAAGACACTTCTGAACATGTTAACATGGGAGAGACATGCAATCAGTGCTTCTCAGAGCCTATCACAAACACATGACGACCAAATAGGCAACAACCGAACAGGTGCTGCGTTTCAAACATTTCACGAGATAATTTTCAGCAGGTAACACACTCTGGCTCCAAGGAAATGCAGAATTTTCCCACTGAGAAATGAACTTGTACTACTCGACATTAGATTCAAAGATGAGAAGATGACACATTTTTCTGGCAGTAAATTAATTTCCTCCTGCATGTGGCTATTAATAGTCAGGGGACTTCTCTGCATGTGTAAGGTTCACGCACAAAATCTGCAACTTGCGTAGCTCTGAGCAGATGGGATATAGAGTCTCAAACACTCCCCCATGATGTTAATCAGGAAAAAAACTCAACCACCTCTGCCAAGGGCATTTTATCCTTCTGCTTTCTTGTTTTGTTTTAATTGCAGCAAAACACAAAGCCCAGCCTTTTTGTAAAAAAGAAGCATTAATTTTGTGGCCACTTAATATTTCTACAGATATTGAAAAATAAAGTGAAATGGAATAACCCACTGACAATGATGGTTTCACCCAAGTATTATAAGCCTAACTCACTGCGGGGTTTATCATGATACTAACAAAACCCCAACTTTCCTAATTTGGCTTTTCACCACACTGTAATCTTGAACAATTCTGAATATTCAAATATGAGCAAATTTTTTTATGCTTACAGAATTCAGCATGCTCCTCAGCATTCCCAGTAACAAGAAGGCAGCTTCTGTGCAAACACTATGTATTGAAGAGGTAACAGTGCCACAGGAAGCAGGAACTCCAAATATGAATGTCCAAATAGAGTCTAAATCAAACTGTAAGAGGAGAAAGAGAAGAAAGAAAAATGAAGTAATCCCTTTCTCCTGTGCATTTTGATACTGCTTTTTATTATACCTACAATATGCTCATTTGGCAATATCTAAGAAATTAGTTGTTTCACACCCTCCAAACTATCTGCAAAAGCTTCATATGAAGGTCACGTGTCACTAAAGGAAATTCCTTCTAACCATGGACTAACGTAACTGCAACTGTCACCTTCTCAAAGTACTTAAGTGTTTTGAAACAAGACACCTGGCAGCACAAGTGCTGCACGACCACCTCCGTTTACTTCACTCACATCTAGCAGTAAAATCCACACAGTATCACACAGGAAAAAAAAAAATGAACAAAACAAATCCACACAGTATCACACAGGAAAAAAAAATGAACAAAACAAATCAAGTTGCATTTTCCAGCAGGTCCAAAAAATTAAATCAATTAAAAAATAAAAAAGGAGGAAGTGTCCACCTCTAGCATTCAGAGTGCTACTGCTAAATATCTGAAGTAGTTGAATTTAGATTCTATTTAACAGTGCTGTACTTCAATGATGTAAGCAGGAGGTGAGCTTCATGCCTCTACTTCACTGTAGCACAGTGCTCAATGTGCTGTCAAGTATTCCTCTTGAGAGGACAAGCAGGAAGAGTACTTTCCAGTCTGAAATTTTTACTTTCCATTTCCCACTGATAAATGAACATTAGCACTGCATCCATTCTAAACAGGCTCTTTGTCTATCTGGTGTGTAGCTTTTCTCCATAAAGCACTATAATAAAGCTTCCTAGGTCTCTGTTGTAGACCATCTAATATCTACTAATTTACATACAGTTCAAACAAGTCCAAAATCAACCTGTTCAGAATAAGAATAAATGTTTTCCATCAACAACTGAGATGCCTCCCCACAAAACCACAGATACTTTTGAAAAGAAAATCTACCTTGTTTCATCTGTAACCTCATGAATTCTCTTTAATACTTCTCACCCCCCGCTTCCCAAAAAAACCCCAACCCACAACAAAGAAAGCAAGCAAAAAATTATGTTCCCTTCAATGCTCACACCATGACAGTTTGAACCAGGGATCTGCTTCTCATTTGACCCCAAAACAGACTAGAAAAACAGCAGTGACAGCTACGCCATAACAGCCTGGCTTCCACATACTCCCACAGCACCTTGTCCTCCCACCCCAAACAGCTCAGCACTAAACACCACATCGTGACTGTGAGTCAACTGCAGAGTAGAAGGAGGGGACCTAGTTAATCCATTTATTTTCTTTCATGACAGACAGAATTACATTTACATCTTACTAGATAATCCCTACCTGGCAACCCTGATTACACCGGCTGCTGATGACAGGTGCACTGACCTGCAGGTTTTCGGGCAGTTCAGTGACTGGCTGCTGCAGGAAAAGGGCCATGAGGAGGAAATAGAGTGCAGGTACATTAGTGTGCTTCGGGAGAAGGGACTGCAGAACAGGAAAGCCTGGGAAGTGACAAGCATCTCGGTTAATCTCCCGAACTGTAGATCTACCACCAGCACTCCTGCCAACGTTGAACCCTAAGATAAAAAAAAAAATACAAAAAGCCAACAATGTTAATAAGGAAATGCCTGTGAAACTCACTCTTACTCGAGTGGTGAACTCAAGAGGGTATCTCCTCAGAAATTAATGCTGTAAAAAATGAATGTGTGCATGCAAAGCATGACACGCATATTACACAGCTCTGCTTCAGATGTCTAATTGTTTTAATCAATAAAAAAAGGAAATCATTGCCTTCCAGTACTACATAGATGACACTGCTCCATACAGACTGCCTAATGCTACTGCATACACACACAGATCCCTTTTCTGATTGTGACCACAATTTCAGACTTTTAAAACACTCAAGCTTCTGAAAAAAGATAATCTGTTGTCTGGGAGGGAAGCATCACCCTAATCTCAAGTACAGATTTGTATTACCAAGCAGCAATCCCATTGCCAATTTAAGTCAATGGGCGACTAATTTGTTTCCAAAGACGTCTCGGGGCATCTTGTTTCAGCTGTTTCATTACTATTAATCAGCTGGCACAAAGTATTAAATGCTCTTATTTTATCTTAAGTGCTGCCAGAGGCACAAAACTCACCTTTTGTGACCCTACTTCTACCTAGGTATTTTGTTTTCCTATTAAAAAAACCCAAAAGCCATAAAGACAGCAGAAGCACTTATTTTCAAGTGAGAAAGGAAGCAGGAAGACAGCTCAGTCTCCACATCAGCACAGATAGTCAGTCATTCTTCTGACACTGCCAGAAATCAGGTTGTTTTCCTGAGGCTCTAATCCAGATATTCTCTCCACCAGAAATTGACTTTTTAAACAGAAAACATCTACCAGGAATCAGACCAATGAAATATTTGCTACAAAGTTACAGGAATTCCATCAATAATCTTGAACAAAAATGGCTCGTCTTTGGTTTCAGGAGAAATCTTTGAGCCAATGTGTTGTAATTTATTAAAAAACACAGGGTATGAAAATTAGATAATCTGTCACTATCATTTGATGAGACACAAGTTTAAAAATATCTGTTTGGTCACAGTCTAGCTTGGATTCCATTAAAGTGATACTATAATAAGAAAAATAGGAAAACTCTACTAATGCTCTCCAAATGTGATTGTAAATCAAATTCTTATTTAGAAAGACTTTGTGACTGAAGAAAATTTTTATGTCATTGGACATTTAAAGTGGATATTGAATAAACAACAGTCAATTCCCTAAAACAGAAATGGTTTTCATATTTTAAGGCACGTGCAAAAACTGTTTCTTAGGTAAAATACAGGACCTTAATCAGAATTAGCCAAATAACAGATGTCATAATATGTTAACAGTAAATGTTTGCACGTGTAGTATGGTTTCAGAAAAACTGTTTTCCTTAACCTTCCTAATTCATTAATAACAAAAAGATCCATCCTATGTTCCAAGTTGAATATCCTGAGGGATGTTTTATGGGAAACCACTTAAACAGACTTAATAGACAGTTTTATTTATGCAAAAAAACCCTCCCAAAAACAAAACAAACTACAAGATACCATAAGATACTTTGATAGATTTCAAAGAGAGAAGGCAAAAAAAATTACTTGATATTTTCATTTCAGGAAAAACTCTCTTCCTAAAATAGGATGATGCCACAACACTTCACAATTAGTTCCTTATAATAAACCTATTTGGAAAAATCTTTAGTACAGAAACAGACCATTTACTTCTGCAACACACAGAGGTGGCTCCTTGTACAGTCATTTTAGAAATAAGGATTAAGTTGAAAGTATTATTAATATCACTGCCCTGATCTGATCTAAAGCCTACTGAAGCTTGTGAAAGACCCCCATTTAATGTCAATGAGTTTGCAGCAGAGTCTGAAGCGACATTCATCTGAAAAGTACTACCTTACTCTGACTAAAAAAATACAGGTCCATGGGAAATCACCACTACACCTGTCTGTACAGAATTGACATCTGTTACTTCAGACACTTGGAGATGCATTTCAGACAGCTTACAGATGCTCAGAATGGGTTCTGTAGCTCTAAAGTCTTACACACTGAACTCTAGACCACATGAGGTAACAGAAAGGTCTGATAACCTGGATAAATGAGGCTTTGAGAGCTTGCAAAGAATAAAAGAGAGAGTGTGAGTGTGCGTACATGCAGAGGAATGCAGGATAGGGAGAGGAAAAGAAAGGCTGAGATGATACTGTTTCTGAACACAGAAATTCCCAAGACAGCAAAAATTCAAACTGGCAAATCTAATTGGCACAGAACTCACTAGACAAAGCAGCTCAGTTATAACACTGCATGATGTGCAAACTAATATAAGTAAACAAACAAGTACATTTTAGTCAGTCTTGATTATCTGTGTATATAAGGTTCTATGCTATGCTACCTTTGTATCTAGCTCAGAAGTGCCTGCCCACGGGACATACTTAACCTTATCACGATGGTAACAGAAAAAACTGATTAGCTGCAGAGGCTTTGTACAGATGATGAGGTAATACTGAACTACAATAAAACCTGCATAATGTCAACTGAAGGGCAGTTTTGTAAAACCGCTCCTCTTTGCCTAGGAAATCTTAGTTGTAAGAAAATGAAGTGCAGAGGCATCTGATTGCAGCACAGACAACAGTAACAGAAAGGATGCATCTGCCAGACAGTATTCATACAATAACCCCCGCCTGGACACACAAACGTGCTCCCATACAACCCTTCAGTCATGAGGAGATGTCATACCTAGCACAGTACCAATCTTATTGGTCAAGACAGAATCTGTCTGATCGAGCCAGCCTCCACCACTGAGACCCTCCTTAAATTTGATAAGGATGGACTGATTACTCAACAGGACCACAAGAATTCGCATAGCTGCTGTGACTGTGGTGGAATGCAGATGTTCTTCCATAAACATCATAATCCAATCAAAACCCAGTGTCTTGACCAGTTCTTCACAAGCCCTAATTAAAGGAAAAAAAAAAAAAAAAAAAAGAAGTCACATTTTACATCATTTAGTTTCCTACTAGATAGCAAAAATCAGTGTCCTCCATTACAGGCAGGAGGACAAGTTCAGACAAGTTTCTCTTCAAGTTCAGAGAGAATTCAGATCTATTGAAGAGTTAACTGAATTCTTAGGTAACTTTGCTACACAAGAAATGCTGCTCACCAAACACTTAGAGTGTACTTCTTTAGCAGAAAGGGAAAACTAAATAGAACTCTTGGGACTATTCCATTGCACGAGATTTCTTCAGTTGCTGCTTTCGATAACAAATGTGGAATGCTGAACTGGAAATGATAGTCACAAATTTTAATTTCCAAATACTTTTTGTTGAGTCGTATGTAGGTACAAAATTTTCACAAGCCTTTTTAATAAATTGCTGTTAAAAAATTAAGATTGATTGTTTGCTTGTTTTTTATTAAGGAAGAGTTGCCAGGCAATATTTGAAAGAATATGGTCTTCCCCCAAGCTTTTTTTTTTTTTTTAAGCAGCATTGCTGAAAAGATCAAACTAGTTGGGTTGTATGTCAACCAGCATTCAGTCAATCACTACATAATCTACATACATCATACATCCACAAAATGCCTCCACCAGGCTCAATACAGCCTACTGGGAAGTTGCTCTAATGTTATATTTTGTCAAGGTTTAACTTGACAGTGTTTCAAAGTCTTTTCTCCAACTCACCATATGACTCTAGTGCCTCATTAAACTACAATATCATGTTCCATCATATGTAATTTCAAGGAACTACAGGGCATTCTATGGTCAACAATAACCCCTACTGAAGCCATTTGATCTTAACCAGATGAAAAGTCGACTATCCCACTTCTCTAAACACGTTTTCTCTTTCGACAGATTTTATTTTATCTACAGCCACACATGAAGTTACGAGAGAAGAGCACAAAGAAGCACACAAGGAAAGCACAGGCTTAAAGAACTGGCTCTCCAGATAACAAAACTGAAAAAAATTTAAGTTATCAACATCCACACTTGTTCCCACTGTTAGCTACTCACTTGTGATCCTCTGTCCCTCAAAGTTTTAAAATTAACAATTTTATAAACGCTATTTTTTCCCATAAAGTAACGATAAGAAGCAAGCAATCTCTCCTTCAGATCTACTATGTATTTTCCTCTCCCGATGATTTTTACTTCTGTTGTTCCTAACTTGAAGCATAAGTTTCTTCTAATGCTGTCAACCATGGTCTTTAATTTTTCTTTTTTAAAGAATCAAAACAAAAAACAGTTAATGCAGTAGTTGAAAGGTAGTGTTAGTTACACCAGCATCTGCTTAGTACTATCATCATTCTTGCTGCCACAACTGACAGCATACAACTCAGTAACCATGCATTCCATTTCTGTTAGCATACCCAAACCTAATTCAGTCACACCTGAATTATTAGCATAAATTATTCAATACTTCCTACAAAATTATGTAATTCAACTAGTGAACCAAATGGGGGCTGTATAATTCTCCCCCTTGAAATAAAAAATTATATCCTTTCTCTATCTCAAGTTTTTTGGTACTTACTGCAAATTAACAGTTGTCTTTTCTTTAGATGTATATAGAAGTTTCAGAAGGATATCTAAAAGCCTGTTCCGCAGTAGAATAAGATTAGCTGAAACAAGTCCTCCAAAATCATCCTCTGTTCCTAAACATCAAGTTAAAAAAAAAAATAAAATAAAAATAAAAAAAAAATTAGTCTTTTGGAACTCCAAAATTTTGAAGGCTATTCATAAATTCCATACATAAGCAAATGCAACCTGATCCCACTTAGGTCACAAGGAAGCCATGCTAAAGCACAAGCAGCCTGCTGTACACTGCTGAGAAATGCCTGGTGCCCCATTAGCACCGTCACACAGAGTTCGGCCAGTTTGAAGAATGGGTAAAAGCGAATCACAGGTTCTCAAACAATAATCTAAACTAAGGTGGTCCAAATTACCTAAGCTAGTCACTCCTGGAAGGTAGAGACTCTCCAATACCCACTCCCTCTTTTTCACTAAAAAGCTCAAATTTAACCATCTTTGAGACTGCAATAAGCAGGAGTATTCAGAAAGAATGGGAAAGGCACAGGGGGATAATGATGAATGTGCAGACTCCCTAAACCTTGCTCTTTGGGAAACCAGACTAATAAAGCTAACTGTAAAGCAGAAACACTTCTCTCTCACTTGTCCCTGTGCAGCAGTATATTCCCAAGAGATGCAGAAACATAGGAAGTTTGGGCATCACCTTCTAGTTATATGGGTGACATCTACTGTATGGCTAATACGTTTCTGTTGAGGGAGATTGATCAAGACCACAATTGCATAAGCCTTTTTTCTTTAGGAAAACAAGGGTAGAAATAGTCTCAAAACAATACAATATAAGCATTCTTAGAGGACAGTCAAAATACTTTTTTATTTTTTCCCCTCTAAAAAAAAAAACAAAAACTAGACTGTCATAGCTAATTCTTTTATTTCCACCACACCTGGAGGGCACATGCATCTACTAATCTGATTTTGTCTTTTCTCTCCCCTCACAAAGTAGAGCTGCACAGCTGATTTAAAGGAGCAAGTGAAGGAAGCGGAACAAAGCCATGCAGTGTTAAATAAAAGAAAACAAAACAAGACTACATGGGTTTTGCACTGCCTTGCACGCAATACTGAAAGCTAAAGTACCGCAACTAACTGACAGGCAGGTTATAAGAAAATTAAAATACTGCTAACAACACTATTTCTAAACTTTAAGTATTTAAGCACAGAGGAGATCACAAAGTATTTCTCTTCTACTTATTCTAGGCCATGCCACCACTTACCACTGTCAGGCTTTTCTTCATTGTTTATTTCCATGACCACAAACTTCTCACAGACTGCAAATGTAGGTAAAGTGGAAGAGATGAACTGTCCAAACCTTGATGTGTACAGAAAAGGAAAGAAAAAAAAAAAATCATTCCTTGATCTGACAGATGCACTCTCATCTATCAGTAATTCACCTTAAATATAAAGCCATAATAGTAGTGAGAGGGCAATACCCAAAAACGTCCACTTTCCCATATCTAAAGATTGAGAAAAGTGGTCTCCATTTAAAGTTACTAGACAAAAAACAAATTAATGTGTAGTAATTAATGATATCTTTGCAGACAAGTCTGCAGATAACCCTCAAGCCCTGAAATATTTTATCCATTTCCATTATAATAAAATGGGAGATGAGAAAAATTAAGTTTTCAAAGAGCTGAACTCATTTAAAAGCATTTAAAATACTCCAGTACATATGAACTGCAATTATTTAACTTTCATCAGTCAAAATTAATAGTACTATATCTGACAGCCTTAAATATTTTTCCATACAGTGGTGACTAAGAAAAAAATCTTGAATTAAACCTTTCATATAGGAAAGTAATCAAAGCTGCATTTTAACCAGAAGTATCAATATACTCCATCTTAAGAAATATTCAATGGTACTGAAGTGCTCAGTGCTTCAGGTGAACAAGGGAGCTGCAACGCAGCACCTTCACTTTTCACCTGCAGAATATTAAGCCAGTTTAATCAATCAGTCATACCTGTTTAGATACAAGCTGAATTTAATATGCAAATCAAGACAGTAACAAAATTATTGCCTAAGTCTAGTTCAGTTACTTCTTAGAGGAAAAAATTCAGTACATGAGCATTACACATTACTTACTCCATAGCAGTATTACTATTATGTATTTTTTACCAAGATCACCAACATAATCAAAACAAAAAAGCCAGAATTATCATAGGTGTGGGCTACCGGAGCAAGTCGTAGCTGCTAGGGAAGCCTTGAAGCAGAAAGCTCAGCACATTACTTATAGCAGCAATAGTAGGCTGGGACAGAGACATATCTCGAAGAGTCAAAAGCAGTCTTGGGATGAGTTGGAATTCCCTCATTAATTTAGCGTTCTTTGCTGCTTCACTGGAAGAAAGAAAAGAAAGGAGGTAGAATTTAAAATTGGAGTATCCTCCACATATTACCTAATCCTGTAAGTCTCATTACGAGGCTGGCATTGGCTCATACCTGGACTCAGTGAGAAGTTCTATGAAGTGCTCAAATAACGACAGATGAAGTTCATAGGGTGCATGAAGCCAGACCTGAAATATGGAATTAACAATTATATGCTTTGTACACAAATCCACTGACATTAGTACATCAAAGGTTATGAAAGGCTTGAAGAGACTAAAACTGTTCACCCATATGACTATTTACCTGGCCATTACACTCAAAAGCTCATTGCATGGTTCTCAGTTGTTTATTCTTCAACCTCAGGTAACTATTAAATATACTAGCAAAGACTAAAGAAACATACATTGGCACCAAACACATTCCCTGTTCAGAGTATCACGCTGAAAACTTTTAAAGAGTTCTACACAAAAACTTTACACACTGTCTGGATTTTCTCTTTAAACAGATAGTACAATGACTCCAAAGGAGTTACTGGGGTTAACAAGGCTAATGAAAAATGCCATGTTAAGTTTATTTGGGTTAAGTGAAGATTTTCTCTTTGTAAAATTAACTTACTATCTTTTGTCAAGATTGAACTCAAGGTCTTCGATTTATTTTTTTTTTAAATTTTTACCCAGCATTTCCCGCACACCTTTTAAATGATTTAGATGCTTTACAAAAATAAATAAATAAATAAATTAAATCAATTGTTCAATCAATAGAAGTAATAGAAGATATAAAAGCCAGAAAGCTCAGAGTTACAACTGCAAATCTTAAAATTGACTTGCTATTGAACAAAGCTCTGCTGTATAAAATTGGCTTAAATGAAGAGCTTTCCAGCTTTTGCTTTTCTTCTAATCTTATAATCCAAAATGATCAGAACAAATCTTTTCATTTCCCTGTTTAGCGTAAGAGTTAGAACACCTAATTTTTCCAATTTAAGTGAAATGTTTGAGTCACTGATTTCCGAATACAGAAATTACAATACATAATTATTTTTTAAAAAGCCAAAATTATGGCTTTTGAAAAGTTCCTCCTTAGTGACTCACAGACCTATTACTTGTATTTTTAAAGTTTTTTTAGTCTCAAGTGTATTTGTTCTCTATTTTTTCTTGGTCTTCAGGGGAAAAAAAAGACAGACATGAACTAAATAATATTAAGTCAGATCTTTTGTACTGATAAAGTACTGATCGATTTTATCGATCTGAAAATTTCTCAGCTGGTTCTTTTATGGGGGAAAGA